TCCTCGGATGAGGAGCGAAACGTCTTCTGTTACAAATAAAGTCCAGTTGTTTTTGTATTGAACGCTTTTTGAATCATAAAGGAAGCATACAAATTTATTTATTTATTTTAATAAGTGAAAATGAAATGGTAATAAAAAGGAAAAGTAGCAACAAAAAAACAGCTAGGTTGTAAGCCTTAGATAGAGAACTTTACTAATTGTCTTTTCTATAAATGTGAATGTTCCTGTAAAGTGCCCTGAGACAACTTTGTTGTGATTTGGCGCTTTATAAATAAACTGAATTGAATTGAATTGAATTAATACAATGTAGAAAACTAAAAACAGGAACATGTCTGCATTGTTTTTATCCGGGAACTTAAGAGATGTTTGAAGCCACTGAGAGGTCAAAGGTCGAGAGCTTCAGGTCTTTTTACAAGATATTCCAGGAAACAGGAGCGGAGTAGGAGAAGGTCCTTTTGTCTAGTTCAGTCCTCACTGAAGGAACACTGCAGGTAATGATGTCCTGAGAGTGCACGCTGTAGCTGCACTCACACAGAGACATGTAGGAGGAGATGTATGAAGGCAACAGACCAGGAAGTGATTTAAAGATGAAAATGTACCAGTGGGAGAGTCTGTGTGAAGTTAATGGTGACCAGTTAACCAGTGAATACTGGGTGCAGTGGTGGGTGCGGTAGTTACAGTCAGTTATGAATCTTAGCGCACCATGATAGACAGCATCCAACATCTGCAGCATCCAACATCTGCAGGGTTCTTGTAGGAGTGTTCATGTAAATAATGTCACCGTAATCAATGGAGGGAAGGAAAGTCACAGATACAAGGTGTTTCCTAACATTCAGAGTTAGACAGGATCTGTTTCTGAAAAAAAAAAAAAAAGTGTAACTTTAAGTTTCTTTACAAAGTTTTTGATATGAGGCTCAAAAGAGAGATGTGAATCAACCAAGATACCCAAACATTTGTAGGAATCAACAAACTCAATGGGAACACCCATCAAAGATAAAATCGAGGGAAAGACTGCTGGGACCGACTTCCTGTTTGAAAACAACATCACCTTGGTTTTGTCTGTGTTTAGTACAAGTTCGAGGCAGAACAAATTTGACTGGATGATGTCAAAGGTGGATTTCAAAAGCTGGAAAATTTATCAACTGTTTTAGCTCGACAATAAACAACTGTGTCATCAGCATAGAAATGTAAGGATGCATCAGGGATGCTCTGACCTACATTACCTATGTAGATTGTAAAGAGGGTGGGTCCTAAGACTGAGCCTTGTGGTACACCATGGTTGGCTGTTAAATAACTGGAGGAAGTACCATTATGTTGAACACATTGCCTCTGATCTGAAAGATAGTTAGAGAACCAACCAATGGTATGGACTGAAAATTGTTGGATTGTATACCTGGATTATTGAGCATGGACTTTTTTGGTCAACCAATGGTATGGACTGATAAACCAATTCCTGAGAGCTTATGACATAAAATGTCATGGTCCACAGTGTCAAAAGCTTTAGACAAGTCTAAGGGTGCATTCATACCAGCCCTGTTTAGTCCACTTTAATCGAACTCTAGTCTGTTTGCCTAGAAAGTCCGGTTCATTGGGAGAGGTGTGAATGCGGAATCGAACTATAATTCAGACCAAAAATGTGAACTCTGGTCTGCCTAAATACCTAGGTCTCGGTCCGGCTGAAGTAAACTCACGCGGTTCGAATGCATTGTGAATACAAGCGAACTGGAGACCACTTCAAAAGCAGGACGTGGACTACAGTGCAGGGCAAACAAACACACATTTCTCTTACCTCATACGGAGCCGTCAGCCACCTTGTGTGAAAAACAACATTATCCATGGTCTTCTGCTCATTCTGACTGCCACAGACAAAACAGAGTGGTGAAGGCTGCACAAAAGATGTTGGAGTCAGTCTCCCCACCATCACAGACATCTACACCCCAGATGCAGGAAGAGGGCCACCTGCATCATGAAGGACCCCACTCACCCAGCACACACACTTTTTGCCCCAATCCCCTCAGGAAGGAGGTTGAGGAGCATTAAGTGTAGAACCACTAGACTGAGGAACAGCTTCTACCCTGAGGCTGTTAAACTCATGATTCTCTAACCAGAAGAATCACTGTGTAAAAAAAATCACATCATGTTGCTGCTGATCTGTTTCATGTTGCTGCTGATCTGTTTCAAGAAGTCTGAAGTCATGCTGTTCCATCCCAGTGGCTCACTCATGAACCATGACATTGACCTTTTCTCTCTAGCCCCGCTAGAGAAACAAAAGGTGACTAATCTGGGGGTGATAATGGACCCGTCCTTAAAACTCAACAGTCACGTAAACATGATGGTCAAATCCTGTTTTTTTCAGCTGAGACGGCTGTCTAAGCTGAAGCCTATACTCTCCAAAAAGAACCTCGAGACAGTGATCCACGCCTTCATAACATCTAGGCTTGATTACTGCAATTCACTTCTGTTTGGAATCAGTCAGTCCTCCATTGCTCGTCTACAACTGGTCCAAAATGCTGCAGCCCGATTTTTAACTGGTACAGGCTATAGAGAGCACATCACGCCAGTTTTGGCCTCCCTGCACTGGCTACCCATTCACCTTCGGATCCATTTCAAAATTCTCATGTATGTTTTTAAATCACTGAACAGTTCCGCCCCATCCTATCTCACTGATCTTCTGCAGCCATATGTCCCACCGCGCTCTCTGAGGTCAGCAGACCAGATGCTTCTCTCAGTCCCAGAAACCCGTCGTAAGTTCAGAGGTGACAGGGCTTTCTCTGTTGCAGGTCCACGACTGTGGAATGAGTTGCCACTGAGTGTCCGGCAGGCTCCCACACTCTCAGTTGGCGATCTCTGGGGAAACACTGAACCACTGGTTGCCGGGATGAGGAGGGCTGTTCTCTGACGGGCGGGGCTGTCGGCGGAGCGGGAGGATGCTGCTGCAGCTGTGGAACGTCTCTGTTGCTGCCTTTGGCCACAACAATCCTTCCAGCGGGCCGGGGGGTGGGATGAGGCATGCAGCTTGATCAGATGGCACACAGTCTCTGACACCTCCTCCGACTTTTTCGATTTTTCCAGCATGGCCTTGAAATTGGTCCCGAACAGCACGTCTGTCGAGATGGGGCCCTCCATCAGGTCCTTATGCAGTTTCTCCGGCAGGGAGGGGGAGTGATGGAGCCAGGTGGACCTCTGAATCATCATCATCCAGGCTGTGATAATGGACAGGCAGACAGCAGATGAGGCGCACAGGTTGAGGATGACATCAGATGCCTTGCAGAGTGAGCTCTTCATGTCCTCATGCAGATCTGCGTTCTCCAGCCTCTTTGAAACGCTGTACGCCAATAGCACCTTTCTTCCGGGGAGAGGAGGTCACAGAGATGGCAGGAGGAGGCGCAGGCGGCGTGGCGGGGACCCCGGCATCCTTCGCAGGTGTCGTGTTGGTCGAAGCTCAGCAAATAGCTGGTCTTGCAGGTCGGACACAGGCGATTGGTGTTGGTGCTGGACATCTCGGAGTTGAAGGTCAGTGCTAGTCATTTGCTGAAGAAAAATGGGAGCTGATTACCTGCTCTTAACGTAATTTATACGGACCGGGTGGGGTCCACACAACAGGTGGGCGTGGACTAAACTTTTCAGTGCGATGCATTGCATGACAGGATAAAACCCACCAGCGACAGCTCTTAAAGGGCGAAGACTATACGAAATAGAACACTGAAAACCTTGCGGCCACAGCACAAGGCAGCTACCTCAACAAGCGAGGTGCGAAACATGGCCCACTCAGACTCAATGTCCCTCACTTCAGCTAGAATGTAGTTAACGCTCTCCTGGTAGTGTGAGTTGAAAATCTCTCTGACAGATCCTTCTGCCAGTCATTCCCAACGAACCCTCACTACATTTTTGGGTCTACTGGGTCTGTCCGACATCTTCCCCCGCCATTTGATCCAACTCACTACCAGTTGGGGATCAGTTGACAGCTCAGCCCCTCTCTTCACCCAGGTATCCAATACAAATGACCGCCAATCAGATGACACAACTGTGAAGTCAATCATTGATCTACGACCTAGGGCGTCCTGGTGCCAAGTGCATTTATGGACACTCTTATGTTTGAACATGGTGTTTATGATGGACAAACTATGACTGGTGCAGAAGTCCAACAACAGAACACTGCTTGGGTTCAGATCAGAGAGGCTGTTCCTCCCAATCACCCCCTCCAGGTTACACTGTCATGACCCACATGGGCATTGAAGTCCCCCAGCAGAATTAAGAGTCTCCATCTGACGCACCTTCCAGCAACCCTGACAAGGACTCCAAGAAGGCCGGATACTCTGAACAGCCATTGGGCGCATAGGCACAAACAAGTCGGACCCCGCTTCTTTCATTTTTCTTTCATTTATTCTTCTTAATTGACTTTCTTTCTTTTATGATTGTCTGGAGTTTGTCTTTGTTGTCTATTGTTGTCTACCGTTGTCATAATTCTTTGTTAAAAAACAGGTCTCGCTTGTAAATGAGTTCCCATGGCTCAATGAGACTAATCTGTAGGAATAAAGGTTGAATGAAAATATCAGATTTTTTTTTCTAAATGAATATGGTACGTCACTTCTTTTATCCACTGTACTTATGCTGGGGTGTGTGTGTCCTTCCAATTGCAAAAAACAAGTCTTCTGGCCAGAAGAGAGTCAAAAGTAATCACTTCCTTCTCATACTTGCTGAAGGACATATCCATAGGGGCCACCCCAAAGAGTGAGATGAGTGATGATGGGTGAACAGTTCTCCCACATATCCCAGAGAAGGCAGTTTGAAACAGGTCCAGAATGTATGCAAGAGTGTAGTAGAAGTTTGTTTACAATGATTACATGCGAGGTCCAGGTCGACTTTGATCTTGGGACAGCTTGTCTTTGGACCAGTGCAGCTGGTGCACCACCTTGAATTGAATTACAGCATGTCTCAGACCAATGTTCCCTCTAAGCTACACACCTGCGCAATCGCACACTGCTCAAACATTCTCTGCGCACAAGAAAATCTATGCTGCACAGTTGCGAACTGGCCACATTTTAATCTCCCATTTTATACTAAACTGTCAGCCCGAGCGCAGCGGTCTGTTCAGTGCAGCCGCCTGATGTGTGCAGAGTGGGGGACGGGAACCCCCCACCCTGTTTCTCCTGAAATCTATAATCATCTCCTTTGTTTTGTTCACATTCAAGAAGAGATGATTGTTTCCACACCATGCCACAAAGCGGTCCACCAGTTCCCTGTACTCAGCTTCTTGTCCATCTCTGATACACCCGACCACTGCAGTCATCTGAATATTTCTGCAGATGACAGGAGTCTGTGACAGGACAGCCTTGCGTCAAAGGAGGGTGGTATATCTGTTTGACTGTGGGCAAGAGAGGAGGATGCTGAGCTTGTTCCTGAACTGAACCTACTGAAGAATGTGTTCAGTTCATTGGCTCTGTCCAGGCTTCCATCCTTCTGATCCTCCTTCTGCTTTAAGTCTGTGATCTTTTTCATCCCTGAACACACCTCTCTGATATTGTTCTGTTGGAGCTTGCTCTCCAGCTTCTTCTTGTACACCTCCTTGCTGTTTCTTATCTTGACTTTTAGTTGCTTCTGTGCACTCCTCAATGCACTGTCTCCCTCCCTGAAGGCCCTTTTTTTTGGTTTAGCAGTTCCTTCAGGTCGGTGGTGATAGAGAGTTTGTTATTGGGGAAGCATCTCACTGTTCTGGTGGGGATAGTGTTGTTTACACAGAAGTTTATATAGTCGGTCACACACTTAGTCATGGCATTGATGTCCTCTCCATGTGGCTGGCACAGTGCATCCCAGTCTGTAGCCTCAAAACAACCCCGCAGGGATTCTTCAGCTTCCATTGACCATTTTCTCACTGTTCTCTTTATTACAGGTTATCTCTGAACAAGGGGTTTATATTTTGAGCAAAGAAACACAGGATTGTGATCTGATTTGCCAAGAGGGGGTCTTGCTTTAGCTATGTATTTGACATTGACATTTGCATAAAACAAGTCCAGCATTTTGTTTGCTCTTGTAGAGCAGCTGACAAACTGTTGGAATGTCAGAAGTGTAGCAGAGAGTGAGACATGATTAAAATCCCCAGATATTGCAACAAACACATTAGGGTGTTGTGTCTGTAGCTTAGCAACCTCGGAGCTGATGACGTCACACACAGTCTCGGCAACAGCATTGGGTAGAATGTAAACAGTTGCCAAAATAACATTGGTTAACTCTCTTGGCAAATAATATGGACAACAACTTACTTCTAACAGTTCAATATCTGGACTGCAGAGATGACACTTCACAGTGACCTGTCCTAGATTACACCATCTGTTGTTCACAAGCACTGCCAACCCACCTCCTTTGCTATCGCCACTCTTTAAATCTCTATCTGCCCGTATGGTCAGAAAGCCTGGCAGAGAAATGCTGGAGTCGGGGATATGATCCTGCAGCCATGTCTCAGCAAAACACATAACACTGCATTCCCCATACTCTGGATGCATCCTTGTTAGGGCTTGAAGTTCATCCAACTTGTTTCACAGCTATCTAAGTGTTAGCAAACAGTAGTGCTCAGTGTACAGTATATCTGGAGGGTCAAAGGAAAAGTTTACAAGACAGTGGTGAGACCAGCTATGTTGTGTGGTCTGGAGACAGTGGCATTGACAAAAAGATAGGAGAAAGAACTGGAAGTGGCAGAAATAAAGATGTTGAGGTTCTCCTTAGAAGTGACAAGGGTAGATAAGATTAGGAATGAGATCACCAGAGGTACATCACAGGTTGAACAATTGGGAGATAAAGTCAGAGAGGCCAGACTGAGATGGTTTGGACATGTCCAGAGGAGGGACAGTGGGTATATTGGTAGAAGGATGTTAGAAATGCAGCTACCAGGAAAAAGACTAAGAGGAAGGCCAAAGAGGAGATATATGGATGCAGTTAGAGAGGACATGGAGGTAGTTGGAGTGAGGACAGAGGATGCAGAGGACAGAGTGAGATGGAGGAGGATGCCTCGCTGTGGAGACCCCTGAAAAGGGAAAAGCCAAAAGAAGAAGTTTAATAAGTTGTGTAATGTTAAATTTACTCTTACATACTGAATTTCACTGTGAGTTCTTGCCGTGTGTCGCTCTGCAGCATGAAAACATCCACTGCAGTACCTATTTTAAGTTATTAGCAGCATAGATTTTTTTCTGTCTTATTTGCCTTAATGTTGGCCGATAAGAAATAAATGCCTCACTAAATGCCTCAGGTAACACAGTGAGCTTTACTACCTCCACATTACAGCTATTTTTGTTTGTTAGTTTGTCTGAGGTTAGCTCAGCCTGGGTTACATTTCCTTGTGGGTGGAGCGATTTTACCGTTCATGTAAAATATTTGATAATGTTCTTATAGAAACAATTCTTGAATGTTGTTCATACTGTGTTAATGCTACATGTTTGTCTCTTGACCCTACAACTGGGTAAGGTTACGGTAGACCTAGCCCGTTACTGGAGTTTTAATCAAGTATTTTAAGCTACTAATAAACACGATGGATGATGAGCATATTGCTTTATGCTAGGTCATTGGTAAGAAGGAGTGATTATTATTATTGTTTCATATTGACTAGTGATTTTTTCCCAAAAAACTTAACTTAGGCTACACTGTGTTTCTTAGACTGTGACTAGGATGTACGTGAGAGAAGCAGAGCGTGTTCTATTCACACAAGGAGAGCTGTTGGTCAGGCTACTTCTTGTTGTGCCATTAACTCTAAAATAGTTACTGAATGAAGTGTTACTTATGTAGGTAAAACTAGATGTTAAACGACTTGTTAAAATACACCAGAATTCAGGAAATGGCATCTACTTTGTTAAAAATTTTCTGGGGGAGGAAAGTACTCAAACACTGTACTTAAGTAAAAGTACAAAATAAACAGACAAAAATGGACTCTAGTAAAAGTAGAAGTACCACATTAACATTTTTACTTAAGTAAAAGTAATTAAGTACTTGCCTTTAAAAATACTTAAAGTATTAAAAGTAAAAGTACTTCCTGAATGTATTACCTAATAAAATGGTCTACATTATCATTAAGTGTGCATACTGTATGTATATTTTCTGTAAAACATTAATAGTTTTGAGCCATTTTAATGAACAATGCAGATAATGCATGTTTTTACCATGTTTACCCTGTGACACCGTTCACACTTGGACTTGTGATCAAGGCCGGATTAACCATAGGGGCAACTGGGCAACTGCCCAGGGGCCCACGATCTCTAAGGGGCCCAGAGCAGTGGGGGCAAAAGCAAAATATCTGGAAATTACCTGGAGCCCTGCGCTGCAGAGTGACGGCTGCGCTGCCGCTGCATGTGGGCCGTCCCGCCTCCTCCCAGCACCGCTGCTACAGCTCTCATTTTTTTGTTGTTGTTTTTTTTACCGTGTCAGATCCTCCACGGCGCAACCTGTTAATCAATTCAGTAGGCGTGTCAGTAACTGACCAATCGATGACCTCAATTTGTCCTGAAGGTAAACGCCC